GACCGGGCGAGACCGCGCCAAAAGAAGCGGCGACGCACGCGGTCGTACGTCCGAGATACACCCAGATGAGCAGCAGTTGGTTCATCGTGAAGCTCGTGCAGCACGGTTGAACGCAAATTTTTCGGCACGACAAGAAGGAACTCAGGGCCATCTGGCTGGATGCTACGACGGTACAGCGTGCCATTCAGGAGGACGTACATGCGAATTGACGTGTCGTTCGAAGCAGATTCGAGACGGTCAATAAGTTGTCGCAAAGAAGCATCACGACGCTGTTCATCACCAAAATGAAAAAAACTGGGACATTCACATGACGCTGAGGCTAGGCTCGATGTTCGGTTCGTCGGGCTGATCAACAGGGAAGCGGGATAATCAATCGGCGTCCAGATGGAGACGTCCACACTGATAAGCTACCGAGTAGGAATACTCCTGTAGGCGTAATGCCCAACGAACAAGTCGTCCAGTGGGGTCCTTCAGAGAAGAAAGCCAACACAGCGCGTGATGATCTGTGATGACACGGAAAGGGCGGCCATACAAGTAAGGACGGAATTTCGAAACCGCCCAAACAAGAGCGAGACATTCCCGTTCTGTTATAGAATAATTGCGTTCAGACTTAGGAAGCAGACGGCTTGCGTACGCGATTACACGATCGTTGCCCCGCTGAATTTGCTGCGCCAAAACTGCTCCAATTCCATGACCACTCGCGTCTGTTCGCACTTCTGTAGGAGCATCGGGGTCGAAATGGGCAAGAATAGCAGGTGTCGTTAGAGCGGTGATTAGCTGAGAAAAAGCGTCAGCTTAAGGAGGGCCCCAAGAAAATGGGACGTCTTGTTTGAGAAGGTCGGTGAGTGGCCGTGCGAGTCCCGCAAAGTTTTTCACGAACCGGCGAAAGTAGGAGCAGAGGCCCACAAAACTGCGAACATCATGGACAGAGCGTGGGACTAGGAAGTTTGTTACAGCGCGTACTTTCGCCGGGTCTGGCCGTACGCCGGCAGCGTCAACAAGGTGACCCAATACGGTAATCTGACGAAGACCGAAGTGGCACTTGGAGAAATTGAGCTGCAGGCCAGCCCGTCGAAATATGGATAGAATGGTCGAATGGCGTTCAAGGTGGGTTGCAAAGGTAGGTGAGAAAATGATCGCGTCGTCCAGGTAACACAAACATGTCAACCATTTAAATACTTGTAGGAGCATGTCCATCATTCTCTCGAAGGTCAATGGAGCGTTGCAGAGCCCGAATGGCCTAACCTTGAATTGGTAAAGACCGTAAGGGGTAACGAAGGCGGTCTTTTCTCGGTCCATGTCATCTACAGCAATTTGCCAGTAGCCAGATCGGAGGTCGAGAGATGAAAATAAGGTGGTGCCATGGAGGCAATCAAGGGCATCGTCAATGCGTGGTAGAGGATACACGTCTTTTTTGGTAATTTTGTCGAGGTGGCGATAATCAACGCAGAAACGCCATGAGCCGTCTTTCTTTTTTATTATTACCACGGGAGATGCCCAAGGGCTCGTTGATGGTTCGATTACGTTTTTCGTAAGCATTTTGGCCACTTCTTTTTGAATCACTTCTCGCTCGGACGCTGACACGCGGTACGGCCGACAGTGAATGGGCGCAGAGTCACCAGTGTTGATTCGGTGAGTGATAATTTTAGTCTGGCCCAAGGGATGATCGTCGGTGTCGAAAATGTGACTGTATGAGGTGAGAACTTAGCAGAGAGCGTCGGCCTGGTGAGGCGACAGCTCCGATCCAATCATGTTTCGAAAAACACCATCGTCTGAGCTGAGTGACCGTGAGACTGCGCTTCAATCAAGAGCAGATACAGCGACAACACTGACATCGTCCTCTGTTATGGCAGTTTGCTGGACTAGAGACATCTGGCAGGGCAACACTTGAGGGGTGAAACCAAAGTTAAGGAGCGGAAGTAACACGCAGTTATCCGCTGTGGTCGCGATGGTATAGGGCCCAGTAACACTGCGCGTCAGCCGAACGTCAGTAATTGGCGTAACAATATAATCACCGTCAGGAACGGGAGGGGTCGATGACAAAGACATGTACGTGGCGGCTCGAGGTGGCAGGCGAACGAAAGTGGTTGGGCTAAAACGGCTGGTGGGATTTGCAGAGTAGTCTGCAAAGAATGGTAGATCAAGGCGAAGGGTACCAGACGAACAATCAATTAAGGGCGAGTGTGGCAAAAGGAAATCAAGCCCAAGTATGAGGTCATGAGGGAAGCAGGCTAGCACGGCAAAAAGGACCACGGCGTGACGACCGGCAATGCTGACACGAGCAGTGCACATTCAGACTACTGGTACAGTACCGCCATCGGCAACACGTATTGCCTGTGCCATAGATGGCGTCATAATCTTTTGTAAGTGGCAGCGTAGAGAAGCGCTCATAATAGACAGGTGCGCACCTGTGTCAATGAGGACTGTCACAGGAACATGGTCGACTTGTACTTCAAGCAGGCTATGGTGCGTGGGAAGCGTCAGTAGAGGATTTTCCGCCGTCATTGGTATGGCAGCTTCACCTCTATAAGCTGCAATATCTAGTTTTCCTGCTGCGGTCGTCCAGAAAAGCTCGGCGAGGAAAAGCGCCGAAGTGGCGAAGAGCGGGATTGGCGACGTAGCGGCGACGGAGAGCGAGAGCTGCGGCGACTGAACAAAGGGGCATCAGGGTAGCGGTGAACGGGCAAAGGGGCGTCAGTGGAAGGCTCGCAAGATGACGAATAGAAATTGAAGGGTGCGGCGACGGAACGTCGAGGGGTCGTAGGATGCATGAGCGGCGAGGTAGCGAAAGTTTGACGTAGTTGGTTTAACCAACGGCGGCGGCAATAGAGAGAAACGTGCCCAGGCTGGTGGCAGGAAAAACAAATAGGCCGGTCGTCGAGTGTTCGCCATTCCGAAGGGTTACGGAAGGGCATTGTTGGAGGTGAACGGCGAGCGTGTCCTCGGGAGTAGGACGGGACTTGAGGGCGAGTCAATAGACATGCTGATGGAAGGCTGAGGTTCGCAAACTTCTGCCTCACCACAGCTTGTATTAACGCCACTGACAGCTGTCGTTTGTCAGAGGCGAGCGTTGAAAAAACGGGTGGCTGAAGAGAAGCCGGACAGGCGGCTTCAATTTCCCGACGAACAATGCGTGTGACGTTGTCATTTGTGGGGGACTGGCGGGCGGCTTCACACGATGAAGTTGCGGCCGTGTTGAGCAGCCGGGTGAATCGCTGAGTAATATGGCGGCTCTTGGCTTTTTCGAACCGCGGGCACTCTTTAATGATCGCGTCGACGGTGGCAACGTTGTTGTAAACTAGAAGATTAAATGCGTCGTCTGCTATGCCTTTCAGCACATGGGCCACTTTCTCAGACTCACTCATGTGCTCGTCAATCTGGCGGCATAAGGCGATGACGTCGTTAATGTACGAGACGTACGACTCCGTCGACGTCTGTGCACGAGCAGCCAGTTGATTCCACGCTGCGATCTGCCGCCTAACGGTGTCGACAAAAAGGTCGCGGATCTTCTCTTTAAAGGAGTCCCAGCTCGTAATCTTCGCTTCGTGCGTCTCGAACCACACTCGCGGTGGGCCATCGAGATAAAAAAGTACTTTGGCAAGCATAAGAGTCGGGTCCCACCTATAGCTTGCGCTGACCCGTTCGTACTGGTTGGTCCATTTGTCGACGTCAACGCCATCCTGACCGGAAAATACACCGGGATCACGAGCAGGAGGTGGAACGACGTATGTAGAAGTCACGGTAGGGGCAGGTGGCGAAGACGATAGTTGTTCAATCTGTGACATGGTTGGACCTATGATGATGCGGCCGTTGCGGAGCTTCGTGGTGAAGACGGGAAAGTACCCAGCACGTCCACCACGAAGATGTTACGTAAAAATGACACGAGGCGTGTCTATTTAAAATCTATATTCAAACTGATGCGTACGGCGCCGACTAAGATGGAAGACAGCACGCACAACCAACAGACCACTTCCTCAATGTCATCTCCTGACCACTGATACGTCAGCTACGTAGCAAAATTTTGAAGTTGCGCTGGCTTGGCGATAGGTTCACTGCTGGCAGTGGTCCGAAAGAGAAAGACGCGCGTAGCGGTTACTTTATCTGGTCGATCGCGTTCCTTCAGGAAGCCGAGACGGTTCCCCAGCTAGATTGTATCGTACACGGTGGTCTAGTGCTTCCAATCGTTGAGTGGTCGAGAGTTTCAGGTGGTGGAGAGGTGAAAGTGAGACAGAAGTGTGTTGCGAGTTGGCAGAGCGGCCGATAGCTGCTGCGGGTGAGAGCCAAAGTGACAGCAACGCGCAGTTGTGAATTGACCTACTTGGAACCGCTTCAACTCCTGCGGCGAAAGAGTTCGTGCGGACGTTCGGGGCAGGGTTACACAGGCTAGTCAAAAAGCTGCTCCAAAAAAATAAATTGCATCGTGAATGAAGAGGTTTTAGATACAACATAACGCAGTTTGCCGGCAAGTGAAACGGGTATAAAAAATGAAGATTCACCATTGGTTCCCCGAACATCATGGAAGGTACATTGCTTCAGTACATTATTAATAATACTTCGTGCCCTTCGCTACTCAGTGGGAAACATGAAAAAAAACGCAAAGATGCCCCACTGAACAGAAGTGAAGAAACATGAACAACTAGTTTATTTCACCGCAACAGAATATAAGATAATGATATAGAAGACTTTGCTCTATGACGACGCATGTGTGAACACATGCGCGAATATTACTTATAATGATCAAGATATTTAAATCAATTTATTAGGGCGAAAGCCTTCAACAGCTCATACTCGGGGTGTCCAACCATCCGTCTATTTGTGTCCTTGAACGGTGGCAGCCGTAGCCTCTACCGCTCACACTGATAATTCAGCGGACACCAACGTATCTAACAATCACTGTACCACAGTGTAACAAGCCCACCTCTACGTGCTTTTTTAGTATAGCTCAGTGGCAATACAGATGCTAGGGCCCTATATTGTAATGTGACTCTGTTGAGACATACGTTCCTGCGCTGCCTCTCGAATACGTGTGGATCCATTCCTTGGCGCTCTCAGCCAGTCTCGATGCCGCCAGACTGCGGAATGCCGAAGGTACGGTGTTCTCAGGAGTCAGCCGGCTCCACAAGTCGCAGTTTTGGTTACGAATGCCCGTGCCAAGCACCGCCTGGAATAAACAGTACTGGTATTACGTTTATAAAAGCGTGCTTACGGGGGGGAGGGGAAGGCCGCCCCACTTCTAGACACTTGAGGCGAGAGGGAGGGGTGCGTTGTCTGCCCTATTCTTTAGAGGGGGGCATAGCAAGGAATATTTGGCCCCCTGAACCCCACGCCCGCTTATAAATACTTTCGCGAGAAAGCACAAGGTAACGGCGTCAAAACACTTTCAAGAGCGACTAATTTGGCACGCAGTTGAGCGTGCTAAATTGAGCAGGAGAAGCGCCTTGGAAAGGTGCACAATCAAGGTATTGCTCTTCGTGTTGCTAGGAAGATATCAAGAGACTCCGCAATTCTATATTATCAGCAAGGGCTTCCAGATCGAATGACAGACAAACGGAGGAAAAAGCCGGCCCTGCTATTGCGAGTGTATTATTCACTTCTTTTGCTCTTTTTGTCCCTCTTTTGTCTTTTTGGGATTTCCCTACCCTCGACCACGCACTTTTGGAGCGACTTTTCGACCAGTGTGATCGCTTAAAGTGCCACCGAGTTAAGGGCGCTCGAGTTGGGAGACTTCGACAAAATACGACCTGCTGCTCTATCGTCCATGAATAATGACTGCAGATCCTCAAATTCGCGAGATCATTCAAGGACGACGGGCTCCAGCCCCTGTGTCCAGTGCAAGAAGTTGAGAATTCTCTCGCAGGTACTTATGCGCATCTTTGGTGCGTCTGATAAAAAGACTAAGACTAAGTCAAGCTCTAGAAGGCTTCTCAAACAACGAGAGACATATTCAACGCACCTATTAAAATACCTCTTGATCGATTGATCAAAGAAAACATCTCGGAAAAACAATTATTTGATCCCAGGCTGAATAGACAAAAGATTAGTGCATCATCGGACCATGCTCAACACACAGGAGTCAGCTCAATGATATGGGTGTGTGCGGGCTATGTCATCTATTGATAACCTTTGGTGATTAAAGGAGCAGTGACACCACATTTCAAACTATAGATGTGGCATTCATTCAATTGCTTTATACGCGTGAAATTTTCTGGCGAGCAGGAGTAGAAACTTTATTTATTCCAAGAGGGAAGTGTGTGTTGGAGGAGTGTCAGAGGAGCTTACCAAGGGTAGAAGTTTGAGCGGCGTTCGTAACGTAGGAGTTTTTCAATTGTGAGCACAAACAGCGTACAAAGGTTTGAAGGTGCGCTTCCCGCGCAGTAACATTGATGGTATTTTTAGGTGTTCTGCGTTCAGCGAGCTGCTAGACGACGCTTCAGGCGCTGACTGGCAGTGAGTGAGCAGCGATGACATTGGCAATTTTAATATTGTGATTGCGTTGTCCACACTTGCTACCACCTGGTGGCAACGCCTGGCTACTTGGCAACGACTTCCCTTGGTAAGTTTTGCTTGGTTCCTGCAGTGCATTCCTATGAATCTTGCGCTTAAATGCGAAGCATTTCTTAGCAAACTTCGGTGACTTTGAGCGTATCTATCTATCTATCTATCTATCTATCTATCTATCTATCTATCTATCTATCTATATATCTATCCGACTATGACCTTTAGCTTTCCTGGTCGTCTCGATAATGTTATGATACCAAAATGGATATTGCATAACATGACTGTATGCCGAGCATCACTGATCATTTATACCATAAAAATCATCACCAGTATGTCATGGATGTCATTACTTACACCTATTATTCTTGCTGCTCTTGCGGTGGTTTTCTTCACATGATATTTTGCAGAACTGATATGGTGTTGCATGACTGCATAGTGAACATAAGTGACAGACCCTAACGTGGAAATCATGGCATGCATGTCCTGATTTTCATGGTATGACTGGTAATAACTACAGGCCCCACTCATGACGCACTCGCAGCCGTCTTGCTAGCTTCACATATACCACACTTGGTGTTACGGGACGTAAATGAATGACGAAGGTATTTGAATGGTGTAGCATCATCATCATGGCCATTCATCATCATCATCATCATGTCATAGCCACAGCGTTGTCCCTCTCGCGCAGCTCATGCATAGCTCGAGCTGCGCGTGAAGAGAACGAGCACACGTGCCTGGCGTGTCGGACGCTTGCAGCCGCCGTGGCTCCGCTTGAGGCCTGAAATAAAGTAGTGAAATTGGCACAGCCACATCGGCCGCCTTCGACGTCTTCTCACGTCTCTCTCTACAGCTGGTACAAACATTATTATCATGACATGAGTGTCATGCAAAATATGACTACATGCTACGCTCATGGCGCGTTCGCAGCTGCTTCGCTAACTGTACATAAACCAATTTGGTATCACGTGACGTCAATGAACGACGAAAGTAAATGACACGTCCAAAAATTACAATCGTGAACTGCGTGTCACGTATAACATGAATACATGCTACGCTCGTGGCGTGCTCGTGGTCGTTTCGCTGGCTCCAAATGTCACGTGAATAGACGACGAAGATAAATGACAAATCCACGCAATAATCAAGGCATGGAAGTCATGTACGTCATAATTTACGTCCACCTTGTAACGCTGTGCTCATTTTAAAGTGATATATCAACTTTTCTCATTCGTGTTTCGCATATCATCAGTTGTCAATGTACGTTGGATCTGCCTATTTTCTGTTGTGCCGCCTCGGGTGATTTCTCGGGGAGTAGTGACAGAGAATGCGATTATTTTTTTTATCATACGGTCATCGCGAACAAGCAACGCGCATGCAGCGTTCATATGTCTTACTAGCCAGTGTGCCACAACTGTGCGTCTCCAGCTACCTCATCGCTACCTCATCGCTGCTCGTTCAGGCATCGAATTCAATTTAACTGCTCAGGGGTGCTATGCAGGACGGCCTGAACATCTAAAGCAGGCGAGTTTCCTCCGAGCTCACTCTACGGCTGCCCTACGATCAAGACAGTATGAAGTGCGGGATAGCGCCTATAAGGAAATAGAACTAGTTCACTATAAAAGCACCACTGAGAAAAATGGCGGAAAAAACGCCTGTGGTGTCAAAAACGCATGTGGGACATTCATTTTATTTATTTATTTATTTTATTTCACAATACTGCAGGCCCTTCTCGTGCCTATGCAGGTGTGGGTCGAAAAAAGAAGAAACATTTATACAAAGCAATAGGTATGAGCACATGCAAATGACAATGAATATGAACATTGTGCTGTAAACAAGGTACAGCCACCAGCACCTTTAACACGAACGCTTGCCGCGTGCCCTGCAGCAGTTTGATGGACGCTGACACCCCGCACGTTTGCATTCTGTTGCCAAGATGCTAACCATACACGCCGGCATACTATCCGGGCCTACCAAGGTACTATCTTGGAAAAAGCGCCCAGCACTTCGCGGCTGACATTAATCAAACTAGCCCTGGCCACGCATCAAAGTGTTCGTGTTAAAGGTGCTGACGGCTCTAGATACAAAAGCAAACAGTATTATAATACCGGTGCATATTGAAGGGGTAGCTGATGAAATACTAATGATATCAATTATTTCACCATTTTAAATCTAGATTCTCAACGCTGCTAATAGATTCATCATTAGTTGAGCAGTTGACAACATCAGCAGGTAGTGCATTCCATTGGGAAATTGTGTGTGGAAATAAAGAATAATAAAGTGTTACTATAACAGGGTTGCTGGTGTATTGTTTTCGTATGATTCGTCCGAGTTGAATGCCTGAATGGCGTACGAATGTAAGTCGCTTGGGGTATTCGATAAGATCCCTGATAAAGGAGGTATAAAATTCTAGTTTAGAAACCAGTCTCCGCAGTACAAGTGATTGGATATCAGCCCTGACCCTCAAATTCGTTATGGAGGTTTGTCGTGAATACTTTGAATATTTAAACCGCAATGCTAGGTTCTGTACGCGTTCAAATTTATCGGTTAAATATTTTTGGTGTCGAGCCCATACTATGTCTGCATACTCTTAAGCTGGCCTAATGAGTCTTTTATACACATTTAGTTCAACGCTGACAGGTGCGTTTTTTTAGTTTTCATCTGAAAAATTCAGCTTGCCTAGAGCCTTTTGATATACGGTATTTATACGATATTCCCGTCACACTTCTTCAGAGGGACGTTATTGACGGTGTACTGAGACTCACGAGGTTTTATTTATGTGCAAAAAAAATGCCAGTTGTTTCAGGCGAATTAATTTCATTCTCCACTTGTTGCACCAGTTTTATATAGACGCTAAGAAACTGTTTAATTCTATTCAGCCGTGCCTGCTATTTATTAATCGGTAGACTACGCAATCATCAACAAGTATTCGCATCTGAACAGGTGAAGAAATGCACGACTGAGCATCACTGATGTAGATCAGGAATAGTAGTGGCGCGAGCACTGAACCTTGTGGCACACCAGAATAAACGTCAAGGTAATCAGACACACAATTATTCTCCACTGTGCACAGCAACCTGTTTTCCATATAGCTCTTTATTCACGAAATTGCCTTTTCTTGCATAGTAATGGCATTTAATTTAGTAACTAGGTCTGGATGGGGGACAACATCAAGTGTTTTTGAAAAATATAAAGTATTGCATTAATTTGGCTTTTAGCTATATCATGGGTTATCTCAGATAGTTGAGTGATAGTTGACAGTCCTCAACGCAAACCATGCTATGGGACGATGCTATCTGCGGTGGACCTCTCGAGGTCCTCCGAGCTCTGATACAGCGGGCCCGACTGGTCGCTGGAGTCGTCCTGGGAACCACGGACTAGGGGGTTCATCCCACGCCCTCATTCTCTATGCCTTTATGAGCATAGACGTTTCTTTCTCTCTCTCTCTCTCTCATGCTGCAAGTTGTATAGTAAGTTATTAGGCTCTTAATGTAATGACATGGCCTGATAAATACTATGTTCAAGCAATTCACAGTACTCAAATGGTAATGAAACTGGTCTGTATTTATTACCTTCATATTTAGAGCCCGATTTATGCACAGGTACTACTTTCGCATGTCGCCGGTCGTCCGGTTCCCCAAAGTTTCTAATGATCGCTTGCAAATTACG